AAATCTCTGATCCTGTAATCTAGTCCATATTGTTAGAACTTGAACTCTGATCTGCTAATTTCAATATGACGTTGAAGAGTCAGGAGCCCCAGTTTTAGTTCTATATAAGAAACCTCTTAGACTATTATGAGCATACAAGGTAAATAGCAAACAGACTTTAAAGATGGATGGGTGCCTGATGATAAATCCAACAACATAGTGAATAATTGTAGAGATATACAACCAACACTATCATTTGAAAACTTGAGTGACCAGCCACACAGCCCAAAGGTTTTTTGTTGGGGTTTTTTTTTTGGTAATTAGTGTATCAAGCTATAAATCATCCAAGAATGTCAGAACTAGAGAGGACTTGGAGATCTTCTGGTCCAACTCCCTTAGTTTATAGATGAGTAAGTAGGTTCTTAGTGGGGAAGTGACTTGTCCATCCGTGATTGCACTGCTGGAGAACTGTTTGGAAGCTGGAAAACCAGGGTTTCTCATTCCCAGACCATTGCTTAGTATCCTATACCATGCATTTTCTTTCCTGAATTATCAGAAGTGATCCACCAAAATACTAGGGTTTAGTGTATCTGTTTTATTTTTATATTTTTCTTCTTTTATTCCCCAAACTTACTGAAATGAAAAAAGAAATCATTAAGGACTGAACTGTTATTAGCTTTAGCAAATAAAGTTTTACTTCAATTTAATACAGGTGAGTTTTTCATAGAAAAGTTTGCTTTTTTGTTTCATTAAATTATGTATCTTTATGAGCTATTTAAAAGCTACTGAGGGAGTCACAGAAATGGGAACAGATAGGAAATGGTTGGGAAATGGTTGGGAAAGACAACTCCAGGACTTAATGTTGGGGTTAAGAGTGTGATGTCCATGGAGAGAACAAAGGCTGTTAGTTTAATCTGTTGAATATCTTCTGGTATCGTCTTGAATTTCAGGTGTAGAACAAAGTTCAAGAAGTTTCTGATAGATGGGAATCATTGGGATAGTATACATTTATAAAATTGCGTTTGTGGTGATCAGGTTTTTTTTCTTTTTGGTGAGGCAGTCAGGGTTAAGTGACTTGCCAGGGTCACACAAGCTAGGAAGTGTCAAGTGTCTGAGGCTGAATTTGAACTTAGGTCCTCTTGAGTCCAGGACCAGTGCTCTATCTACTGCGCCACCTAGCTGCCCCCATGGTGATCAGTTTTGATTGAAATGGTAAGGTTCTTATCACACTATTTGAAATGAACACGAAGTTTGGAGTTCTTGAGTATAGAAAAACAATAATAATTATTAAAATGAGGAGTCTAAGAACAAGATTTTAGTGAGAATATTACTATTAAAGCTAGGAGCATAAGACCAAATGTTCAGAGAGCATAATAATTATTCTTATTAAAGTTAGTCTAAGTTCAAGATTTCAGAATAGAAATAAGAGAATACAGAGGACGAGAGTCCTGCTAAAGTCCTTTTGAGCTAAGCAAGTGGGTGAGTTATGTGCAAAGGACATTAAAGTGGGAGAAGAGCTGAATCCTACTTAGTCATAGTCATGTCATTGTGTCACTTTGTGCGAGTCATATTCCCAAGCTGGGTCTCAGTTTCTCCTGTCTGTAAAACGAGAGGGTGGTACTAGATAGTTCTTAGTGTCTTTATTGTAGTATTTTCAAAAGTTCTAAGGCCCTTTCCATGTTAGTGCCAGTGGGACTTTTTCTCTAGTGGGTAACCCAGGTAGTAGTATTATAGAAATTTGAACTCAAGTCTTCTGTTTCACATTTATATTTGTATTTTAACATGTTAAATTTAGTCATTTAAATTTCAACATGTTACTTGGTCACATTCAATTTTTAGCAGTTAATTTAAGATCATTCAGAGTTCTGACTGTCCTTTGATCCTTGACACAGTACACTAGTGATTTTATTTCCCTGGATCTCCAGGGTATGCTTGATTAACTCAAACTTTTAACTCTTCTATGCCTGTTCCCTGCTGCAGATATTTTTGAAGGTTACCAATGAATTGAGGAATTACATAAAATTAAATGGTGTTTTTCCCAAAGGGGAGGGCATGGGGGGGGGGCGGGGAAGAAGGGGGAGAAGAATGGGGAACATGGATGGAACCACACTAAAGATATGCTCTTTTCTTGTACATCTGAGTTTTGAATTCTTTGATTTTGAGGTAGGTCCTTGACAGTTCAGTGGGAAAATCATTCCATATGAGTAAGGAAATTTGGACTTTCGTGTGGACCTGGTTGTTAAGTTCACTTTCTTGTGTAACCTTGGCAAAGTAATATTCTGTCTCTGGACCTCAGTTTCTATAAAATGGACTAGATTCCTTAGGATTCATTTCCAGCTCTAGTGTTGTAGGAGTATGAATTCAAACTCCCATGTTTGAAAGGAAAAAGGATCATTTCTTTGCTTCTAATTTGCACTTTTAGCAGTTTGACAGATTATATGGGACTGGTTTAAAGACTTTAAATAATGAGTAAATCTTTTTTTTTCTTTTTTTTTTTTTAGGCAATTTGGGGTTAAGTGACTTGCCTAGGGTCACACAGCTAGTACGTGTCAAGTGTTTGGTCTGAGGCCAGATTTGAACTCAGGTCCTCCTGACTTCAGGGCCGGTGCTTCATCCACTGTGCCACGTAGCTACTCCAAATAATGAGTAAATCTCAAAATTCACAAGTTAAAACTTGAATAGTTCTCGTTGACACTGAGGCTAACACTTGTTTGCCATCCTTAATTTGAATAGAGCAGTTAGTCTTTTGTCAGATCTTCAGGTTTAGACTTTCTTCTAGCCATTCCTTCTCTAAACACTGTATTTAAGGGACAAAATGATTAACAGTTGAGGAACAAAAGATAAACAGATATTTAAGTTGACTAGAAGTTCAGACATTGAGCTCTTAGGCTCTAGAATGAGGATCCCTTCTCATTCTTTACTCTAATACTTAGAATTTTGTAGTCATTTCTAGACTCCATAGTGTTCTTATTATTGGAGGAACCAGGATTAAGTAGGGATAATAATCATAACTAATATATTGTGTTTAAGATTTTGCAAAAAAGCTTTACATCTGTTCTCTCATTTGCTCCTCGTAACAATCCTATGTGAGTTAAGAAGCAGGCTGAAACGGGTTAGGTAGTCTTGCTTCAGGGTCAGCTAGTAAGTATCTGAGAAAGGGATTCAAACTCAGGTCTTTCTGATTCCAAGTTCAGTTTTTTTATTCACTTCCACCTCGATGCACGACCTAAGTGCTGCCCTCACTACGCTAGGCGTTGGGAATATAGTGAATGAAACTATCCCTATTTAAAAGGAACTTATGTTCTAACATTCTTCTGGTATTCTGGCTTTTTTAAGAGTTGGAGAAGACTCAGGGGAAACATGGTATTTTTGTCTTTGAGTATCTGACAGGGAAAAAAGATTGTTCCTCTTGGTCCCAGGGGATCAGTCCATTGGGCAAAAAAGGGAAAAAAAAGCAACTTTGTGGGTTAACTTATTTATTTATGTTTTTTATTTTTACATTGCCTCTAGGTTTTTTAGTATTCTCTTCTAATGCTCACAGAGAGCAATCCCTTATAACAAAAGAAAAAAAGGGAAAAATAGCTTAGTAGAACCAACACTGAAAAATTTCAGGCTGACAGTGTATGCATTATTCCATATTTATATTTTCCTACTTCTGGAAAAAAAAGGTATGGGGAGATGCCTTTTCATATCTCTTCTTTGGGTCTAAGCTGGCTCATCACAATTTTGAAACAGTTTTTATCATTTTGTTCTTCCATTTATGTTGTGTCATTGTTTTCCTTGTTTTGCTTATGCATCAGTTCATTGTGTCTTTCCATTTTCTCCTGTATTCATCTTATTCATGTGCTTTAACTTGTTTAGTTGCTTTCTAATTGATGGATAGCTACCTTGTTTCTAGTTCTTTGATGCTACAAAAAGTGCTGGTATAAATATTTTGGTATTCCTTTTTTTTTTTTAGTTACTGATCAAGAGGGAACATTTGGTCAGCAGTGAAATGGGAAACATATTTCCTCAGGAATTAGTTAAGTTCTGTTACTAGGGGAGTGGGGGGCCTGCAATTTTAGGCTGTTTGATCATTTGGGAAGAATATTGAGGTGATTCAATTAATGAAACATTTATTAAGGACCTACTGTATGCTTTTTTGCATTGTGTCAGGCAGTGGGAATACAGTGAACAAAACAACTGTTACTTTAAAGGACCTTATATTTTAACATGCTTGAGTTGAGCTGTGAATTGGACTATTTGACCAGTGAGGTTCCTTCCAACTCTTTTAAGATTCTGTGATTTTTCAGTGACTTCTGAGTAATTTTTATTCTTTAAGTTTATCAAAAAACACTCACCAGGATTGCATTGAGGTATTAATTTGCTTTATTGCCTTTTAGGGTGCATAGTAATGTTTTCTCCATCATCCTGTGACAAAGCAATTGATGAACACGTATTTTGTGCAAGTTCCTTTCTTTTCCCTGTCTTCTCCTCTCCCCCCCACCCGTGTGTGTGTGTGTGTGTGTGTGTGTGTGTGTGTGTGTGTGTGTGTGTGTGTGTGTGTTTTTAGTAGGAGCAGCACAGAGTTTGGGGAAGGAGAATATAGACTGTTTGGTCTATAGGAAATTGAAAAATTACGACTTGATGGAGATGGAAGGTTATAATGAAAATTCATAAAAATTTTAATAGAAGTAACTTTTGCTGAAGCAGTAGCAAAATTGCATTACAAAATCAGTCCCTCTCCCCCCTTCCCTTTCCCAGAAAGCTATCCTTGGTAACACAAGATAATTAAAGAAAGAGGGAAAGAACTTCAGCATAACTAGCTAAGTTATCAACTGAATTGGATAGCATCTGCAATGTACTGAGACCTATAGTCCCTCATACCTGGAGAGAAAGAAGGGAGGTGCATTTTCTTAGCTCTCCAGGACCAAGAATATTATCATTATATTTTTGGTTTTTGTTTTTGTTCTTTTCATTTATGTTGTTGTAGCTGTGTATATCATTTTCCTGGTTCTTCTTCACTCTGGGTTAGTTCCTGTAAGTCTTCCCATGCTTCTCTGAATTCTTTGTATTCATCATTTCTTAAAGTGCAGTAATGTTACATTACATTCATGTAACCCAGTTTGTTTAGCCGTTCTTTAGTTCATGGAGCCTCTCCTTGTTTCCATTTCTTTGCTACAATAAACAGTGCTCCTATGAATATTTTGGTGTATATGGGACCTTTCTGTCTTTGACTTCCTTGTGTCCACTGGGTTAATGGGTGTAGACATTTTGGTCACTTTTTAGCATGATTCCGAATTGCTTTCTAGAACAGTTGGACCAGTTCCCAGCTCTACCAATAGTGTATTAATGTCCCTGGCTTGTAGCCCTTGCAATGTGAAATCAATCAATCTTTTGTCATCTTTGCCAGTTTGCTCTCTGTGAGGTCAAACCATATATGATTTTTTCATAGAGTTAATAGTTTTCAGTTCTTCATTTTGAGCTCTTCATACCCTTTGGCAAAATGCAGTATTTGTGTTAATTCCCTGAATATCATGGATATCAGATTCTCTTCAGAGATACTTAATCTGATTTTTTTTTCCCACTTGAAAGTTTAAGGACCTTGATGATTAAAATCCTTCTGTAAGTATCCAATCTAATAATTCTTTTGGGAACTTGTGATTAGACGCCTCTTATTTTCCAGGATATAGCAAAATTTTATATATATTTTGACCTGGAGAGGTATTATTATAGTGAATTAGTATAGTGAATAAAAGACTGGCCTTTGAATTAGAAAGACTTGGGTTCATATATTACCTCTACTACATACTAGCTGTATCACTGTGGACAAGTTAAAGAACATTTCAGTGTTGTTGGCAGCTTCCACAAATTAAGTTACATAGGAGTTCCTGCACTGTACTGGAGTTAGGAGTTTTAAAATGGGAATTCCCAACTGCCTAGAACTTCCACATCTTCAACTCTTTTTTTTTTTTTTTAAACTTGACAGATGGAAGTGTTTGGTTTTCCATGTGTTACAACCTAGATATTCTCACTCTGTGATTGTTGGGTTTTAGATATTTTGGATGAGATATAGTTTTGTTAGATTATTCATCAATGATTTGATAAGTAACATCACTCATTGTGATTTAGTTTGGCACTGTTTTATTTATTTACTTTTTACTCATTTGTCCTTGTTGAAGTGATATGGTGCACCATGAATTAGAATGAGACGATCTCTCAGTAATTACACTACTTTGGGTTGCCAAAGTAGTACTAAATGGTACTAAAGCATAAGTTTCTAAAATTGTCTTTACTTCTACTTTACTTTCTCTCACTAAGTGCTGTTAGCTTCCCAATTCAAGGGAAGGATTGGGATATAGACAAAAGGAAGTAGAAATGTTGTCTTAACTTTTGGTGGTTGGTTTGGGTAAGCTTTACATACTTGGACCTTTTGTCATTTTCTGCTTGTTGCATGACTGTTTTGTTTGTACACATACTGTCCTATAGGATTATTTATATTCATTTCTCTTTGAGATAATGTCCTGTAATTCTGATCGTCATCCTTTATGATCTGTAAGCTCACACGTCTCATATCATCAATAAAAGGCAAATTGCTAAAATGTAATGAAAAAGTTGCTGTGAGTGTGCTTTGTAGCATTCTCTTCCAGTTTTGGCTTGTGGAATCCTTTTCATATTTGCCCTGATGTTCCTCCAAATGTAGCCAGTCTACTATGGCCAAGCAGTAGCTAACAGAGTTCCATGGTGACCTCATAGAAGGACTGCTTTGGGATGAAGAGAGGGAGCTGCTATGATGTCTTTTGCTCAAAAGGACACTTGACACTCAAATGAACAAACCTCTTTCTGCAGGGTCCAGCAGGATTAGCTGGTGAGAGTCACTTAACACATGGTGAGTAGAGAAATTAGGCTGGAAACATTTAAAATGGAAGGAATATAGTAGCCTGAATAGTTTTGTTTGTCCACGATAAGAGATCAAAGGTTGAACAGCAGCTAAGTAAGCTTCTGAATCAACTTTGTCCTCTTATGTAGCCCAGGTTGATGCCTCTCAGTTTTCCATTACAGATCTCCACCGTTTAATTTCAACTGAGCTCTCATTGCTAACTTGGCAATTCTGTTTATCTCTTGTTCCTAGTCCAGTCACCCTTTAAAACTTGTGTTCCTGTCAAAAGCCTCACTCAAAAGTCCTAGTCTTATTTAGTCTTATTCCCTTGCTCTGTTTAATGAGAAGGTTGAGACCTTTTTCATCTACCTTTTTTTTTTATTTAAAGCTTCTGTACTTATACTTTTTCTTCCTTCCCAACTATATCAGAAGGGATGGTCTTCATCTTTTACTGGGACTAGTCCCTCCTACTGTTGTCTTCCATTTTATCCCCTTTCATCTCCTCAAGGACCTTGTTCCTTTAATTATTACTTCTTGCTCATATCATCAGTCTCTAACCCCACCAGATCTACTTACAAGGATGTACTGGTTTCCCTCTTTCTCAGATCCTGCTAGCTTTCACCTTATTCCACTCTTAGCTTTTATCATATTGACTTGTTTTTACTGTTAAACTTCTGGAGTGAATTATCTACAGTTATTGCCTCTACTTCTACTACATTGCTTACTCTCTCTTTAGGTCCCTGTGGTCTGAGTCAACTCTTTTTTGCTATTCTGAAATTGTATTCATTGATAATTCCCAGTTGCCAAATTCAGTGGCATTTTCTTAGACCTTGTCTTACCTTTGTGTAGACTTTGACACTGTTAATAAGCCCTTTATACTTGAAAATCTTTCCACCCTTGGTTTCTGGGATACCATGTTGTTCTTACTGACTCCTTTTTCTGTGTCTTTGTTAGTTTCTCTTCTCTTTCTACACATACTCTCCCTCATTTACTGATACTACTTCCAACTGTCCCTGGAATGGACTCTGCTTCCTCTCCTTGGTCCTTTCCTATGCCCTTCAAATCTTCTGGTGAAATCCCTTCCTTTTGGGGCCTGTCTCTGCTGCCAGTCTTCTCTGACCTGTGGGATGACTTTGAAGAACCCCCTGTTACTTTCCCACCTCCACCAGCACCGCCCCACCCCTCCTATTTCTCTGTTCTCAAGTTTATTCATAGTACTTTAAGGCCTTCTTTACTTTTATGTCACTCTGTTGTGTCATAGCAATTTATTTGTCCTTTTCTCCTGTCCTGTCACTATGCCCCCTTAAATCAAAAGCTCCTTGAACATAGGACCTGTGTGTTCATATCCTTGATGCCTAAGCATAGTGCTTTGCACGTAATAAGTTCATCACTCATGTTTATTGAATCAAATGGAGATGACTACAGTGCCTTCCACACAACCCATGCTCAAACACTTAAGCTTCAGTCCTATACTTCAAACTATTTTTTGGGTATTTTTGTTTGGCTGTTTCACAGTCACCTCAAACATGATGGCTCCAAAATCAGCTTAGTTTTTCTTAAAAACTAATTTCTCTTCTTGACCACATTTTTCCGGTTTTGTTAGTTTCATTCTAAATCTCAGCTCACCCAGGCTCCCAACTTCCACTATTCAGTCACATTGCCAGTTCTGTCAATTTGTTCCTTAAAAGATCTATCTATCTATCTATCTATCTATCTATCTATCTATCTATCTATCTATCTATCTATCTATCTATAAAAGATATATGTCTTTCTATATATATATATATATATATATATATGTATATATTTGATTTCCTTACCATTCCCACTGTTACTAACTTATTTTGAAATCTCAGTTGTTGCCTGGAGTACCACAGTGGACCTCCCAATTGATTTCTCTTCCTCTATTCCCTCTCCTTCCCTTATTTAATCAGTCCTGCATAGTCCTGTCAACTTAATCAAAAACCTTCTGTGATTCTTTCCTACAAAATAAAATTCAGCTTTTAAAAAATCTGGCATTCATTCAAAGTCTGGCCCCTAGCTGCCTTTCTATCCTACTTTCCTGATGTTATTTCTACTAGAACCCTCTGCAGGAGACAAACCAGTTTATTCTTTGTTCCTTGAATATACCTTTATTTTACTGCCTTTGTACTTTTGCTCAACTGTACCACCTGCTTGGACTACTTTCTTTTCATTTTAATCCTATTCAAACTTCAAGACCCAACTAAAATTTTACCCTTTCAAGAATTATTGTTGGTACGTCTTTAATGTACTGCCTTGAGACTTCTTTTGTTGACTTGAGCTGTTATTTAAATCTTGAATTTCTTACCTCCATGTTTGGTCTTCACAGAAAGATTGTAAGCTCTAGGAGGGCAGGGACTGGATCCTGTTCTTACTTGCATTTGCTCTATGACAGTACACATAGGAAGTGCTCAATATTTGTTGATTTGATAATTCTAATAAAAATGCCATCATTTGAAGTTGCCGTTTTTTGCCCATCGGTGCATGTGTTTTGATTGTTTTTTTTCCTAACAATGAAGATGGATTCCCCATATCCATCAATTTATTACTGGACTGGTCTTTCTTGGGGTATAGTATGGGACAGAGGAATATGAATTAGCTCTGGAGTTTAGGACCTGGTTTCAAATTCTTATTTTAACACACCTGGGTGTGACCCCTTGTTCAGATCCATTAACTTTTGTGGTTCTCAGTTTCCTCATCTATAAAATGAGGGTGTTGTACTTAGCCTTTGAGAAACCTATTTCTTGTCCTATGATCCTTGTAATCAGTGGCACTGTGAAGAAACTACTTCGTGTTTTTGTTTAAAAACTTGTTTTCAAGTGTTTCAAAAATACTCAGACATGAGAAAAGGTTTGGCCCCTTTTAAGAAAGCCAAATTTAGGGGCAGCTAGGTGGCACAGTGGATAGAGCTCCAGCCTTGGAGTCAGGAGGACCTGAGTTCAAATCCAGCCTCAGATACTTGACATCTACTAGCTGTGTGACCCTGGGCAAGTCGCTTAATCCGAATTGCCTCACCAAAAAGCTCCCCCCCCCGCCAAATTTTAGAGAACCTAGTCTAGAACCACTTCTATTTCATGGCTGCGATCAGTGTACATAGGAGTGAGGTAGGAGAAGGTACTGTATAATCAGGCTGCCTGAGAAGTTTCTGATCAGAAAGGTAAGTCCCTAAATGGATGATATGTGGAGTTAGGGAGGGGTTATGGAATTTCCATTTCTAGCCATGAGAGTATTAAGATGCATAAATTACTGCTAGGTGGTGCAGTGGATGGAGTGCTGGACCCAGAGTCAGGAAGACTTTGACTTCAAATATGGCCTCAGAAATGTGTTACCTGTGTGATGCTGGGCAAATCATTTAACTTGACCATTTGCCTCAGTATCCTTATTTTTAAAATGGGGATAATAATAGTATCTACCTTGTAGGGCTGGTGTGAGGATAATACTTGTAAAGATTCTAGTGGGGACGACAACATGTAAACAGCTATGTACAAAGATCTGTATAGGATAAATTGGAAATAATCAAGAAGGGGAGTCACTAGAAGTAAGGGGGATCCAGAATGGCTTCATGGAGAAGGTAGGTTTTTATTTGGAGTTTAAGGAAGCCAGAGAGCAGAGATGAGAAAGGGAGAGCATTCCAGCCATAGGGTACAGTGGGTGAAAATGCCTGGAGTCAGGAGATGGAGAGTCTTATGTGAGGAACGGCAAGCAGGGACAACAGTGTTACTCAGTTATGGACTACATAGGGCGATGGCAGTATAAAGTTTAAAAACACTGGAATGGGGTGTGTGTGTGTGGAGCAGTTTATGAAGGGCTTTGAGTGGAGTCAGTGGAGTTTATTGAGATGAGGGTGATGTGGTCAGATTTGTGCTTTAGTAAACTCACTTTGGCAGTTAAATGGAGAAGGGACTGGAGTGGGAAGAGACTTGTGACAGGAAGACCAAGCAGCATTATCTTTCCCCCAAACCTGCTATTGTAGTAGTCCAGGAATGAAGTGATATGAGGTTTTACACCCAGCAAATGAAGAAAGCCATCTGTTAAAGTGTGGAAAAGCTGCAATCTAAATCAGTTTAGGGGGCATCTACACCCATAAAATCATAGATCTAAAGACTATGCTTTAGTGTTGAGGTAGCTGTGAGCAGGAAATCTTCCCCAAATTTAGTTTGTCTCTTAAACAAAAGAGTATACATAGTCTTTTTAGGGACCATGCTCAGAGCCTTTCCAGTTTGGTGGTGTTAATGATTTTATTATTCTTTTACAGTTTTTAGGATACTTCCACATACATAGATATCAAATGGCATAACATTTAAGTTCCTAAAAATAATCATCAGAAATTGCTGTATTATATGCCAGCAAAACTGAATTTGAAAGAGAGTGTTAGTACCTATAGGAAACTTCTTCCTCCAGTGAAGCTCTGAAAAGGCTCCAGAAGGAATAATAAAGAATACTAAAAGAATAAACTTCTCTACCCAGGCCAGGACTGCACAAAATGACAGTAAGAATCCTGCAGAAGTCCTGGATAGAAACAAATTAGGTTAGATATATGGCATATGGGAAACAAATTGAGGACCGTCCCCCACATAGGGAAGTCCTGGAACCCCTATTGGAAAAAGCCCTTGAGCAGTATTCCTCAGGTACTTGGTCCCTGAGTCACCACTGGAGAGAAGACCAGATAATTACTTAAGAAGGCGGGGCCTAATCTTAGTCACTACACTCCAGATGAAGCAGGGCCCTGGACCTGTACTATCCGTAAGTACAAAAACAGAGTGGGACCCAAGGCCCTTGCTGCATGCCTGACCCACCCCAACTCCCAATCCAGACCTGAGGCAGGTAATGTGAGTAAACCAAAGAAAACACCAAGCAATGCAGAAATAACCTTGAATTGAAGTGACCAATGGGCAAACCCAGAAAAGAGTAATTATGTAACAAATTTGCATAGAGCCTCAGATAAAAAATGGCCTGGCCACAAAGGCTATGTACAATACCTGAAGAAA